CTTCTGGGATGTGATTCCTCCTCTTTCTGTATCAGCCAGGTCTCTGGATTGCAAGTGAAAGAAAAAAATAGCGTGAACTGGCTGAAAAGAACAAAAGAAATGTATTGACTCATATCGAAAATATTCATGAATGAGTCTGACTTTGGACCTGAGCTGCTCGAACGATGTCATCGGGAATCTATTTCTCTCTCTGTCCTCATGCTGCCTTTTGTCTTGGCCTCGCGCTCAACCAGGCTGTCGTTGCTGGTAGCACAAAGGCAGACACAGCTCTAGGCACACATCCTAGCCCCTCAGCAATCAGTGGGGGAAAAAAAAAGTCTCTCTTATGAGATTTAGAAGTAATTCCCAGGACACTGTCCAATAGTTCCTGGGGAGCCAGATGAAGAATTATCCCAAAAGTGTGTTTGGGCGGTTGGAGAGAAAAGACAGTCAAAGACTGCACCTCTGACTTTCATTCTTTCTTCTTTAAAAAAAAAAAAAATTCTCACCCAAGGATATATTTCCATTATATCTTCAGATAGAGTGGGAGGGAGAGAAAGAGAGAGAGAAAAAGACACACAGAGAGAAACATCCATGTGAGAGAGACACACCGACTGGCCACCTCCCGCATGACCCCGACCAGGGCCGGGATAAACAGCATCTGAGGTACGTGCCCTCGACCGGAATAGAACCTGTGACTCTTCGGTCCGTGGGCTGACGCTCTAACCACTGAGCCAAACCGGCCAGGGCCTCCATTCTTTCAATGTCCCGAAGGTCCAGCCCCACAAGCAAGCTCAAAGATACAGCCATGGCAGATGGGTGGCAGTTCTTGGTCTCCCACATTGCGGCTTCAGATCCGGTGATGGAAGGGGGGTGAGGCTGGGAGGCTGGAAATCTCAGGTGATAACACGAGGGTCACATTGTAATTATCTTCAGAAATGAACCCCCGATGGAGCCGGAGGAGTCAGCATGGCCGTTGGTGCTCATTGAGAGAGCTTCCGCTGCTGTTCAGGTCTGAAGATGGGGGTAGAAAGAGCCATGGAGCGTGTATTTGGAGCTAAAACCTAACAGCTCCTGCCAAGAGCTACTGATCTGGCTGCACAGCAGTTGAAAGACTGTCAAGGGTATAGTGGAACTTATTTTGTGCCCAGCATGGTGCAGATACACTTTAGGGAGAAGGCAACCAACCCCGGTATCCAGATGCGGTGTGGCTGCCACCTCCCATCTCATGACTTGACATCTGACTGACAGATGGCCTCAGACAGAGCTGTTGGGATCGCATCTCAGGAACCACCGACCTGTCCGTCAAAGCCAGAGATGTAGGATGGCGTCGGACCCGAGATCTGGAAGAACTTAGCAACTTCACAGTTGCCAAAGGCAGGGGCAATATGCACACAGAGAAAACCAGAAAAGCACAGAATGACGGGGAGAGAGAGAGAAAGAAAGAAAATGAAAACACTCTGTTCCCACTGGCAGATTCAGTCTTTGCCAGGAAAATGAATGCGGACTTGGTAAGCACATAATTCAATTTTCTACTTGCTCAGAAGTGAAAAAAAGCCAGACACTGGGAGAAACCGCTGAGATGATTCTTAACATTGACAAAGGCGATCTGTATACGAACTCAGCTTCGTGTAACATCCTTGACCATATAAAGAGGTAAATGTCTCCAGGTTTTACATCCAGTGTGATCTCAATGATGTGAAAATATCTGTCTATCCAGATACCCACCGTCATTTCTACCTCACTTGATTTATATTCATAGACAAGCACAATGTCAATGAGCACGAAGTATACTCTGCGGAGAGCGGGGAGGGAGGAAATAGTTACTGAACATTAATCTAATGTACCACAGCTTCAATCTGATCTTTGTGGTGTGTAGTCATTTTTATTGAGGTTCTTTTAACATTTTATTGCAAATTTATGTTTATCGTTGAAATTTTGGACAATCCAAAAAGACGTAATCAACCAAATTAAAATTCCTTCTTATTCCACTACTTAGAGGTAAACATTGTTAATGTTTTGTTAAGTAGAACATTCAGAGTGTTCTAGTCATGTACATCCAAGGTTGCTGTTGGCCGAGGCATTGGGACAAGAATGGCCATGTCGCGGCGTTGGCGTCGGGAAAGTCAGAGAGACAGTCTCCCACCCCCGTGTCACCAGTGGTTCTACAGTCAGGGAGGTTTCTAATCAATGAAATACGTGTAACTTGGAGGTTTAGAAAAATCTCTTGATTGCTTTAGATATTGAAATTATGTAAATTTCAATATCTTAAAATAAATGTAAATGTATTATTGCAAGAATAACATGCTACAGAAAGAGTTTTGGGGATCACATCTCAGGAACCAGCCACCCAGCCTGTCAAATCAGGACAGCTGGGATGGCATCAAACTCCAAATCTGGAAGAATTTAGCAACTTTGTAATGCCAAATCCAGTGGGAACACACACACACACACAAACACACACACACACACCGACGACCGAAAGCGATTGACTTTATGTACAATACCGATTGTTAAAGATTCTCAAATATTGTCTCAGAAAAGGAGGAATGCAAATGAATAGTAAGAGAGACTGTGTTAAGTAGATAATTTAGGAAGGCCTGAATTTGAGTCAACAAATAGTTTAATACAACTTTAATACAAGGTAGAGCTAAATAGATTATATAATAATCCTGAAATTTGTGCACTCTTTTGGTGTGCTACCGTTCAACTCATTAAAGAAAACAATTTTTAAAAACTGAATCTGATTTGGTTATTTCATTTCATTTAGAATATGAAGCTTTCTACATAGCCGCCTACTTGGAAACTTTTCGCATCTTGTGAGGATCAATTAAAAGCAGAATGTCAGCTTTTCCACTCAGATTTCACGAGGAGGAAAAACTCCAAACCCATGTACCAACCCACCCGTGAGAATTCTTTTCTACCCTGGACGGGGCCCAGCGTGTGGGGGTCTGGAAACACTTTCAGAATGAGGCTCTGAAAATTGTTTGCCTCGTGTCAAGATTCCATCCTCCTCCTATGCCACAGATGAAAAAATATTTGTGCTGGAAAGCAGAATGAACAAATATGGAAACTGAGTCTGGCCCTGGGTCCGAGCAGTCCTGGGGGCAGCCCTTGGGCAGGGGGAAGCCCTGCCTAGTTCTGGGGGGAAGTTCGAAGGACCCCCACTCTCTATGGGTACACTGCTCTTTACAGCTTGGAAAGCGATTTCTTCATCTGGTATCTCAATGAATTGTCCTCCAGCCTTTGAGGTAAGGTCTGCCGATGGCCCCATTTTACAGATGAAGAAACTGAGGCTCACAGAGGCAAAACTAGCAAGGAGCTGAGGCAGAACTCAAACCTGGTGTCCTGACTGTACGTGTTGCGCACTTTCTGGGCCCTCCCCCTGGACCAGGCCACCTCCTTTCTATGGAGCCCAGCCGCACCCCCACCCCTCCCTCCTGCAGCTCCTTCCAGATCATCTTCGCGCCAGGGAACCCCGCGATCCTCCATCACATCAGAACCAAGACGTGAGGAAACCCTGTGGTGAACACTAAGCAGATCACCCATCGGGGCAACAGGTGACTGAAAGGCGACTCACTTTGAGGAAAAGCTGCCCGCGGCTGGGCAGTTCGGCTCAAAGCAGGTGTGAGTGCTGGCACACGTGCGAAAGGGCTACGCACAGACCGGGGCTGGAAGTGATTCTGGGGTTATCCAGGGGAAGAATTTCCCAGCATCCACCTGCAGATCAAGGAACAGCCCACATCTCATTTCCGATTGGTGCTAAAGACCTTGGAGCACCTCGGAAGTACCCCAAATTAAAAATCATTCGGATGCCCGCCCCCTTCTGAACTGCCACCTGGCGCTTGCCCTCGTCACCCTCGGGGCCAGACGCCCCTGGAGGCTGCTGGAACAGTTACTCAACCATTTTGAGCACCTACGATGAGCCCAGCCCTGAACCAGTGATGGACACATCGCATCTCCAAATAGTAAGTAGTTTTGTCCCCATTAGACAGAACTACCCAAGTCACACACCTCCCTGGGCAATTACGTTTGAAGTATGAACCATTTGTATCTTGCACGTCTTTTTCCTCCACGTTCAATAACACCTCCTCCCACCTATTTGTTTATTTTATCCTCACCCGAGGACATTTTTGCATTTATCTTCAGATAGAGTGGGAGGGAGAGGGGGAGGAAGAGAGAGAGAGAAACATCGATGGGAGAATTGAAGCTGGGACTCTCTGGTCCGCTGGCCCATGCTCTAACTGCTGAGCCAAACCGGCCAGGGCCCCCTCCCACCTATTAAAATCCAGCCGCCTGGCTACGTAGTTTGCTTGGTACTGATTTCCAAAAGCCATGACTCTGTAAGATGGAGCTGGGAGCATCTAAGCCCCAAAGGAAGAGCATATTTCAGGGAGAAAGGCATCAGGAACCGAGGTGCAGACGAAAGGTGATTTAGCCACAGGTGTGTTTTGTTGAGCCTAACGATGATTTTCCAATTAAGAATCAATTGACACTATTTTAAAAATCAGGAGAGTTTGCACTGAAATCTGAAGTTCTGGGTTTCCTTGAGAATTCAGATGGTCGGGCCAGATGGGGCTCACATTCTCACGTGGCAGCCCCTTTTCGGGAGCGCGTTTGACCGTTTCCCAGACCCCACTGCTCCCTATTTTCCTCTACAACAGGCTTCCTCTCTGGCTTTCCCTGCCTCATCTCTGACCCTGATCAAAAGAGGGGAGAACCCACCCTAAGACTAGAAAAGCATTTCACCTAGGCTGACGGGAAAGGAGAATTGGGAGAGGGTTGGGAGTCTCTGGAGAGAGAATTTGATCTAAATGGGGCCCCAAGGACAGATTTTAGCTGTGATGTGCTGCTGTTTATCAACTGCTCTCCAGGGGGGAGAATGTGTGTGTGTGTGTGTGTGTTTATTTTACTGGGATGAAGAATGTGTTTGTTGCACAAAATTTACAAATAATAGAAACACTTTATTGAAAATACTTTGTTATAAATTCCATATTGCCAGTGAATTCTCACAGAATGTTATTTATTTTTGGCCAAGCCCTTGTATACACAAACAACTATCGTTGCCATTGAGCCGTGATTGGACAAAATTAGACCATGAATAATCTCCTGATGGCAATTCAACTCAGGACGCCCCTCACAAGTGTAGTTCCCACAGGAGGGCTGGTTGGAATTCCTGTTCATGTTAATGAGTCAGATGAAAGTTAAACAAGGAATATGTATGTCAGAACCCCTTCGTCAGTGACACGGGCAACTTGCCTGCTGAACTGGGTAACAGCTCACGTCCTGGAACAATATTTCCTCAATTGTTTGTGCCACTCACAATGTACCACCCGTAGACACAATGGATATGCTCTGGTATTTACTTTGCACTGTGAACATTTTATCCATCACGTCCTCGATTGAAAAATCAACAGAACAATAACTCAAGCCCTGATTTGTAATGTTCCCCAATCTCGGCAGTGCCAATACACTCCCCACGGCCAGGTGCAAGTGGCCCACGTGGCGGACTCAGGAAGAAATGTTCAGTCTCTCCCTCATGACCCAGGCAAGATGCAATAGACATAAACAACCTCAAGAGCACGGATAATAGTAAGATGTGGTTAATAAAAAGGGAAGTGATGAGCTTTTAGTATTTATTTCCTTTGTTTTTAATACAATTTATTTAACTCTGAGCTTGAGTCCTTTGATTTCTTTTAAAGGCTGAGATTAACAACCAGCCTGCAAAAATCCTGGAACTGTGACAGCTCCCCCAGGCCGGTGCCAGCCAGCTCCAGTGCACCGCGGGACACACGGGGAGTGCCCCGACTTTCGATGGTTCGACTGTGGACTTTTTGACTTTATGATGATGTGAAAGCAATACACATTCGTACTTTGAATTTTGGGGTTTTGATCTTTTCCTGGGCCAGTGATACGTGGTCCGATACTCTCTGGTGACGCTGGACAGTGGCAGGGACCCTCAGCTCCCAGGCAGCCGCTCCTTCAGAGGGTAAACAACTGATACTCCACCATGTTTTGTTAGCTGGTTCTGCCCAGCGAGAGGCTAATTAAGTGTTCTGAGCATGTGTAAGGTAGGCTACGCTAAGCTATGATGTTCAGGAGGGGAGGTGTATTAAGTGCATTTCTGACTTCATGATGGGTTTACTGGGATGTGACCCTGCCAGAGTCGAGGAGCATCTGTATCCAGAAAGGAGAGGGACCGGAGTCCTGTGGGGGCTGGGTCAGCACCCCGCTGAGCAGGAACGAACACACAGCCTCATCGGATGCTAGCATCCTGGACCTACTCTGGCTCTTCATTCTCAGCATCCAGGGACTCCTGCCAGGCCCTTCCTTTGGGGACCTGTGGCCTGAGCTACCTGGTCAATCTCTATGGGACTCACCTGTTGGGGGACCCTTCACAATGTCCCAAAGGTGGGGGCCTGGGTACTGAGGTGAACAGACCTCCCCCCTACTCCCTGACTAGCTAAATGGAACCAGCTGAAGACCTTCCTGAAGGTAGATGGGGTTAACTACACCCCTGGGGGCATAATCACCCCCATACTGCAGATGCAGAAACTGAGGCTTAAGGAGCTGTTACTCACCCAAGGTCAACAGCTGCCAAGAGGTGGATGCAACACCAACAACCAGGTTTGCCAGCTTCCAAACCCATCTCCTCTCTGCACGAGAGAGCAACCAGCCCCACCCTGGAGGCAGCTCCGGAGCTCAGTCCACGTTCTTGGACGTTAGTGCGCATAATCGTGGACTTCTGTTGACCTTTCCCCCGATAAAACTCACGTGCCCTGGACGGATGGTGAGCAACTCGAGGGCAGGCCCCATGGTGAACATTTGTATTACCAGCCTTTGGAATTCCAACTCACTGGTGTCAGAAGAACAAGCTGGTCCAGGTCCCCCACTGTACATACGGGGGCGACTGAGGCCCATGGTCATACAACAATGACGCCAGCAGAGCCAGGACTAGAAGTCAAGCCTCCTCTCCCGCAGTCTGAGCTGCTGGTGAATGGTAGACATTCCTGGCGAGAGAATTAGAAGGGTGAACCAAACTGATATGTAAGAACCAAAACGCAGGCTTTCCCAGGCTGAAAAGTCCCAGCCAGAGGAAAAAGGAGAGCTGAGAATATGGTACCCTCCGCTGGATTTAGGGGTGACACCAGGAGGGACTTCCTGCCAGGACTGGCACCCCAGAGCCTCTGTGACAACACCCAGGGAACAGTGGAAACCCCATAACATGTTCTCATTATAAGTACTTCAGAGAGGTGCAGAGTCAATGGGGAAACTGAGGCAAGAGGGCAGCTCCTCAGAAACCCTCGGAGCCTGAGACTGAACATGAAGACTGTTGGGATCTCAGACTTTCATCCCTTTCACCCCAACACAAGAGACCTCCTCCGGCGCAGGGCCGGTCTCAAAGGCCCACTGGGACTTGTGCTTCCAGGCGGACAGGAAGCTGGAGACAGGCTGCTAAGACCGTGGTTCCAGCATTTTCCAGGCAGCTGGACTCCTCAGGAGGCTGCAGAGACCTTGATGCGGCTGTACTGGACACCAGACGTGCTCTGCCTGTGGCCCAAACCCGCGGGGAACCTGTCAAGCAGAGAGTGAGCAGAATTGGCGACTGGCAGGGCCCGGGGGCCTCGGAGGGGACATCCCCTGGGACCCCATCCTATCCCCACTCCCACCTGGCCCTTCCTACTTCCTGTCTTAATATGCATTTCCATCTTCTGAATTACCCAACTACTCCTCTTGGTCTCCCTGGTTCTGCCCTCACCCACACGTGCCCTGGCACTCCCCTAGGCCACACCCACACCGTGCCTTGTCCTAAAGCTGGCTTCCACCTGCCTCTGCCGCTTTGCTCTTTGTCCCAGAGAAGGGGCCTGGAATCTTCTCCCAAGCAAGCCAGTATGGCAGAGATCCAGGTGGCTTCCAGTATCTGTACCCCTTTATGTCTACTAATAGCACCCTTGATTTTTAGCTGGGCACATGGCTACCCAGATTCTTTTCTCAGGTGCACCTACGCAGAGGAGTAGCCAAGTTCTGGCCAAAGGGCTGTGGGTGAAAGTGACCTGTGCGTCTCTCAGGTTGGGTCCTCCTCTCCCCCTTGCCCTCGCGAGAATGTGGTGGTTCAGTGTCATGGGCCACGTGGAAAAGGTAACATTGAAGAGATAGCAGAGCAACAAGATAGATGGAGCCTGGGACCCTGAATGACCTCTTGAGGCACAGCTGGTCCCCCGCCCTGGACCCCAACATTTGGACTATTCCAATCAGCCAAGTCTATCTCCTGACTAATCCAGCGGGGCTGCTGAGGGGTTTGCAGAAGGTGTCACCCAACTAACTGGGAGTGCTCAGCTGGCAGAGGCCACTCTGGGGTGGGCTGGACAGGGTTAGAGGTTTTACACTGGACTATTCTGTATCCCTTCAGGGGCCAGGTTGGGGTGAGGCTTGGCAGGTAGCTGCAGGGAGGCAATTTCTAAGTCACTATTAGAACGATTTATTTTTCCAATCTGTCAGGGCCTCCCAGGAATAGGATGGGCAGTCAGGAGCTGGTGACTCCCCTTCACTGCAAGGGGCATTTGCCAAAATACTTACGACTCTAGTGCTTTTAGGTCCCTTCCGATGGCCCCATTCCCCTCTTCTCTTATTTGAACAGCCCAAGGCCCCACAGAGCTGAGGTTCTGAACTCCTCTCTGTGACCGAAAGACCTTATGTGATCTAGCTCCTACCCACTGGGCTGATCTGATCTTCCCCCCCTTCCTCCCTCACTCTGTCCCAGCCACGCTGGCTTCCTTAATGTTCTTTGCATTTGCCAGACATACTCCTGACCCCACGGCCTTTGCACTTGCTGTTCCCTCTACCTAGAATGCTCCTCCCCCCAGCATTGCATGGCTGCCTCCTTCTTACTGATTTACAATGCACCTCCTCCGTGAGGCCATCCCTCTCTGACCACCCACTCTAATTTAGCCACAATCCCCTGCCCTTCTGTCGCCCTCTCCACCAACCGGACCCTCTCAACCTGTTTCATTCTATTTCATGTTCTTCCAATTCCACTCGCTACATGAAATGCTCATGTGGATGCACACGTCAGCTTGTTTGTTTTCTATCCCCCTCCACCGTTAGAATGGAAGCTTCATGAAGACAAGGGCTTTCTCCATCGTCCTCTCAGCCATATGTCCTCAGAACATTGCCTGTCACATAGCAGGGACTTAATAAATATGCACTCAATTGGTCGATTCAGCCCACAGTTCTTTGTGGGTGATTTTTAAGTATTTAATTAATTTATTTTTGTTACAGATGTTTCTCCTCCCCTCTATGCTCCCTTTCTATGTGATTTTAAAAGGCCACCGTTATTTATTTATTTATTTTTCGTGGTACATGCCCCTAGCGGGAACCAAACCCGGGACTCTCTGGTCCGCAGGCCGACACTCAACCGCTGAGCCAAACCGGCCAGGGCAAGAGTCCACAGTTATACTGTTTGGTTTCTCCAAGCTTCTATGACTCTAAGATTCTCTGCTTTTAGGATTCTACTATTCTAACCTCCTGCGATAACACAATTGCAGGATTTAAAAATTCCTGTCAGCTGGGCTTAAAGGCAAACGAAACTCCGCTCTGGGAAGACATAAAACAACTCAAGGACAACAGCTCCCGTAGGAAGACAGGACAGAACGCAGCGTCCAGGCAGGAAGAGAGGCCGGAAGAAAAATCCTCTCTTGCAACAGGAAAGTACGACGGTTCAAGTCCTGCAGCAAAGTGCTCGGGTTGGATGGGGCCCTTCCCCACGCCCACCCTGTCCCCCTTACCGTCTCCTCTGGAACTGCTGGTCTATCTCTGCCAACGACTGGCCTTTTGTTTCAGGGACAAATAAATAGATGAAGCCCAGGCCAAGGACAGCAGTGAGCCCGTACAGCAGGAAGGTCCAGGACAAGCCGATGGCGCCTGGGGACAGGGGGCGGGAGTGTGGGTGGGGGCGCAGCCAACTGGCTGATTCCAGGTTGTGCATCAAAGGTCAGTTCACCTGAAGATTCTCCAGATGGTCAATTTGCAGAATGACCAACAACGGTCAGATACGGGTCTTAAAGCAGGAACAGGACTGGTTGTCCCAGAGGGAGGCCACGGGTCCGGGCTCCAATCCACAAGCACTGCCCAGGGCACCCGTCTCTGGGGAAGCCCACACCCTCACAGCGAGCGCACCGAGGGCTGGGCGCGCTCGGAATCTGAAAACGTGAACCGGGAAACTAACATTCACCTCGGCAGCCAAACAGCTGCAGGACACGGCCTTGGCAAAGCCCAGCTCCGAAAAAGAAGCCTTAGTAATTCCATGAATTGGTTATTCAGTGAATTGAGCATTCAGGGAACTGAGTTTCAGCCAAGTTGGCCTGAGTCTGATTGGCCTGGGAGAGAGGATGAAAACCTTAGCCCCACCGTCTCTCCCTCTTCCTGGAGATTCAGGTGGGGGCCAGGGTCTCAGGGCCAGCGACCAGGACCCCCGGGATGACCCTGACTCCTTTGTAGACAGTCAGCCCAAGAGAGAGAAAGGAGGCTGTGAAGGAAGTGGCCGCGTTGAGCCAAAAGCACAAATGATGTTGCGTCTGGGCGGCCGTTCTCAGCTCTACTGGTCATGGCCACACCCCTGCCAAGGCACCTCCCCTGGTCAGCCTGACCTCCGCTTAATCCTCGTATCAGCAGGGAGAGAGATGGGCCAGGAGTCAGGAGGGCTGGGTTCCTGTCTGCTCACTACCTGGCTGGACTTAGGGAGGACGTGTTTCCCCATCTGTGAAATGGGATTATAAGACTAGGATACAATTCTAATACACCCCTCCCATTCTTCCTTCTACGCGCTCATCCACGCATTCATTCCACTGAGGGGATGCCTGAAGACAGGCAGCAGGGAGAAGTCTGAATTCCCTAAGACTAGGGGTGGGGGACAGGCACAGGAGACTGTGCCTTTGAGGAAAAACGCTTGGCTGCAGAAAGTGGGAAAATCATGGAACCCTAAGAACTCGGGACCTGCAATGAAGAAGCCACGCCCACTGTGGCTCAGACAAGCAAGGGCTACCTTGGGCCACAAGCATCTCAGGGACCCTTCCCTAGTGTTCTGTGCCCATATACACCCTCCCCCCCCCCCCCAGACAGGGTCTGGGTGCCAGGAAAGAAGAGACCTGCTGGCGGTGGGCATGAGCATGTTTGAGCTGGCTCAGAACACAAAGAAAAGCTTGCGGCTCTGCACCCTCAGGTCTGACAAGTTCTCACCAGTGCTGGTGTGGACTCTCACCTGTCACGGGGCTTGGAGAATTTCACAGCGTGTCTGAGACACTTGCATGGAATCTGTGCATAGAGTTTTAGTCGAAGAATGGTTCTGCTGCCTCAAACAGGAAAACTGTAAAAGCTCTCCTGCTTTATGCCCTGGCTGGTTTGCTCAGTGGTTAGAGTGTTGGCCCGCAGACCGGAGCGCCCCGGGTTCGGTGCCTGCTAAGGGCATGTGCCTCGGTTGCGGTTTGTCCCCAGCCCCGGTTGGGGTCGTGTGGTTGGCAGCTACTGGAAGTGTCTCTCTCACATTGATGTTTCTCTCTCTCGCTTCCTCACTCTCTCCTTCCCGCTCTGTCTGAAGATAAATGCAAAAGTGTTCTCCCGTGAGGATTAAAAAAAAAAAAAGCTCTCCTGATTTAGAGTGGGGACGTTGGGCTATAGAGAAGAGACTGCACTTGGGGGAGAGCGGGAAAATCAGAGCCCCATACTCAGGCCTCGCTCCAGAGTTCCCCTCCCCCACCACACTAATCATAGATGCTTCAGTCTCCTCTTTCAGCCTCTACTCCCAAGTCATCAGTGGAGCCAGCCCACACACTGATGGGGCCTGGAGTGAGGTAGCAGCCTCACGGACCATATCTTCTGCTGTCTTTGTCTCCCAGCCCCTGCTCTCCCTTTTTCTGGTACCAATTGTCCTTTGGGGAACAACTCCCCCCCAACTTCCGGTCCAAGCGGGTTGAGTGTGGCTGTCTCCATCCCTCGGCTCCAGGGTGAGTATATGACCCAGGCCTGGAACCAGGAGGTGGAGCCAGCCCTCCAGCCACAGTGATTGGTTCAGGGATGGGTAGGTGATCTTGCTGAGCCAATGAGAAGCAATCCCAGGTCTTGGGGAAGAGCCACTGGGAAAGAACTTCTCTCTGTCCACCCGGCTGCCAATCTGAGATGTGCTGGCGACCGTGTGCCGACCGGAAGAGTCTGCCGAGAACAGAGCCCACCGCGTGGAGGCAGAGCAGAGAGAGGAAAGAACCGCTGTTCTTTTGGAGCTTCGGCATCAGCTGTGCTTGAAGCCAACTGCCCTCCTCTGTTCAGTGATTTCAGACAAAAATATTCCCTTTTGTTGATAAACTGGTTTGCACTGGGTGTTCTATCACTTAGACCTGGACCGATAAGGGAGTTGCTCCTGGATCTAGAAGGACCTGGACAGAGAAATGAGGTCAGAGGACTCACCGATGAGGTCGAGGAAGGAGAGGCTGATGAGGAGGTTGGCGGCCCAGTTGAAGCTGTTGCAGAAGGCGAAGGCCCTCCCTCGGATCTCCACGGGGTAGATCTCGCTGAGGACGAGCCAGGTCACTGGGACAGGAGCAGCCTTCCTTCAGTGTGATTTAAACACCACCAGGTCCTCCCTGGCTGCTCCCCACCACGCTGTAAGAATCCCTTTAGAGTGACCAACAGTCTTGGTTTCCCCAGGACCGAGGGGGCGGATGCCTGGGACACAGGGTTTTCAGTGTCCTGGGCAAACCGCGATGGTTGGTCACCGTATTCACTAAATTCCCTTCACGTGAAGTTTCTGAATGCGCTATGCAGGAGCAAATTCAGGTTTTATGAGGCCTGAAGCTTAAACAATTTGGGGGCCTTTTTAAGTAAAAAATATTACAAATATAAAATCAGTCCCCTGCCCTCAAAATAAGTGCCTGCAAATAATCAGGGAACCCTGAAGCTAACGCTGCACTGGCTTCACGGTCAAGCGCCCTCCAGCGTCCCTCCGGGACCCTGACAGACACCGTCCCCAAGCTTGCCACCAGGGAGGGTAGAAGGCTCGGAGTTACCTGCATGGACTCCCACCCACCTGGTCCAAATCCAAAGGAGAAGGCGCTCACAAAGACCATCATGCAGACCAGCGCGGTCCAATGCAGCAGGGCACGCTCAGGGGCAGAAGCGGGTGCCAGGGCGGCGGTGCTTAGGGCTGGCACAGGAGGCACCGTGGGATCCCCAGCTCTGGGATGATGCTCGGCTTTCTCAAAGGTTGATGAGACTGGCTCCTCCTGGTTCTTGCTGGTTTTTGGCAGTGGCCGTGAAGACAAGCCCATTGGCAGGCTGGAGTCTCCAGGGAGGTTTGATGGACTGGTGGCATTGGGCACGGCCAGGCAACTTGGGCCTGAGTCCATGGGCACAGCAAAGCTGACGAGGCCTATGCCGCTGACCGACAGGGCCATAAGGGCACAGCCAGCCAGGAGTAGGGCCCTGCGGCCTGCTCGGTCCACTAGACCCATGGCAGCCAGGGTCGCTGCCACCTTTACTGCCCCAAGCCCCACTGAGGCCAGCACAGCTGAGGACCCCGCACGGAAGCCAACTGAGTGAAAGATGGTGGAGGCATAGCACAGCACATTGGGCTGCCCCGTCAGCTGCTGGAAAAGCACCAGCCCCAGCCCCACGGTGGTCCGGCCTCGCATATTACCCCGCTCCCTGAAGAGGTCCAGAAAGGAGTATCTCGGCCTCCCCAGGCCCCGCCGGGTGGCCTCACCTCTCTGGAGGGGGATGAGGTCCCTGTGGGCCGCAGCCTCGTCTGTGCCAGCCGGGAGAAGGAGGAGGCTGAGGGACTGCAGGACAGCAGGGGCCGCGGCCCAGCCAAACATATGCCTCCACCCCCCGGGGACACTGGCCAGGGCGTAGTTGAGCGCGTAGGAGAGCAGGATGCCTGTAGTGATGCCTGCCTCGTAGAGGGACACCAGCACTCCCCGCTGCCGTGGCCCCACCAGCTCTGACACGTAGATGCAGCAGGCCATGGAGGACAGGGAGATGGCAAAGCCCGCCGCTGAGCGGCCCAGGACCAGCCAGGCCAGGGAGCCAGCCAGGCCCAGGCTCAGGCTGCCTGCCAACAGCACCAAGTTGCTCCCCAGGATGGCTTGTTTCCTGCCGTAACAGTCGATGAGGAAGCCCCCTCCCAGGGAGGCGAGAAAGGCCCCCAGGAGCAGGCTGCCCACCAGGAACTCCTGCTCCAAGCAGCTTAGCCCAAAGTCAAGCTGCAGTGGCAACAGGGCACCCGATATGACTGCCAGTTCATAGCCAAAGGTCAGGCCACCCAGCAAAGACACAGAGGCGCACAGGGGCAGCAGGGGTGGTGAGCGGCCTGGAACACAAAAGTGACAGGGGCTGAGTTCAGAATGGTTTCTTGCCAGAGCCTCCATCCATCCACCCTCCCCTCCATTTGTCAGTTGCTCCCTCTATTCATCCAGCTACTCCATCCATCCACCTATTCTTTTATTCATCTATTGTCCATCAATCCATCCACTCATCATCCACCATCCACCCACTTCTTCCTTCATCCACCTCTCCCTCCAACCCTCCATTCATCCATCTACTTCCTCCATTCACCAAGTCATCCATCTACCCAGGCATCCATCCACTGCTTCCTTCATCCACCCACCCCTTCATCAGTCTACTCTATCCACTCACCTATCTCTCCATTTAGTGATCTATCTACCCACCAATCCACTCCTTCCTCCACCCATTCACACATCTACCCATCCCTTCATAGTACACTCCTCCATTTATCCATCTACTCTGTCTACCACATATTCATTCACTTATTTGTCCATTCATATACCCCTTAATTCACCCAAACATCCATCCATCCACAAATACATCCATTCATCCATCCATCTTTGTATTCCATCACTTATGTACCCCCACACATCCATCCACACACCCACACACCCATCCATCCAACCTTTCATTCAAAACTTATTTATCTGGCATCCCAATACACCAAGCTGTATTCTTGGGGCTGGCACTACAATGGTGTTGTCAAGGACCTGCCATTCTAGTAGAGAAAAAGCAGATGATGAACAAATAAGTCTATGCTATAACTTCAGGTGGTGATAGGTATCATCTGAAGAGCAGGGGTTGAGAATGAGGGAGGAGTTCTAGTTTAAATAGGGTGGTGAGCTAAGGCCTCTCTGAAGAGGGAACATTTGAGCCGAGATCCGAATGAAGTGAGGGTAAAAGTCATATAAAATCTGGGAGAAAAATATTCTAGACAAAGGGAACAGCAAGAACCAAGTGAGGCCAGACAGTTTTTAGTATGTTTGAACAGGAACTATTAATATTAGTAGCTAGTGCTTATAGGGCATTTACTAAGTAAATATCAACTCTATTTTAGGAGCTTTAATTGTATTTACTCACTTCATTCCTCACTTAGAACAACCTGATAACATATTATTATTAGCATCATCCTCCAAGGCACAGAGAAGTTAAGAGACTCTCTCATGGTCACACAGCAAGGAAGTGGCAGAGCTGATGTAGCTAGAGAGTGTAGGCTTTTCATCACTGTTCTATGCAGCAAGGAGGCCAGAGTGGCTGGAGCCCAGTGAGTGGGAGGAGATGATGAGGTAGGAGAAGTAGGCAGGGGCAGATCCTGTGGGACTTTGTAGGTCATGAGGACACTGGTGAATTTCATTGTCAGTAGGAGCCACTGAAGGCTTGAGCTGATCTATGGTGGTCACCAGCGCATGTGGATATTGAACCCTTAAAATGTGGCTGATGTGATTAAGAAACTAAATTTTAACTTATTTATTTTTAATTAATTTCAATGTAAACCTAGCCACGTGTTGCTAGAGGCTACCCTATTGGCAGTTCAGTTATACAGTTTACTCTACATTTTTAATTCACATATTTAAACAAATATTTCTGGAAGCATAGAGTAATCCAGCAGTGTCCATCTCACACCATGCTAAGTCCTAACTCCTTCGCATAACATCCCAGGCCCTTCATGAGCGGCCCAGCCAAACCACGCCGACCTGACAACACTCATAACATTATAACCGGATATACTGTTTTCTGTGGACTAAATGAGTTCTTGCACTCAGAGCGCTGCTTTGAGCACTTAAGTGCAATAACTCATCTGATTCTCACTACAAATGTAGAAGGTGGGTTTTTGTGTCATCTATGAATGCATAAACTGGTCATCAGAGAGGTGAAGTGACTTGCCTAAGGTCAAACGTAGTAAGTAGCGGTGCCTAGATTCGAAGCTGAGGCGCCCGGCTCCACAATCCATTCTCTTCACCATGCCTTTGTGAAAACCTTGGCACAATATAATTTCACTCTGTTCTCGCTTATTTCTGCCCCTCCCTCTGTCTTTAGGCAATTTTTGTACATGAGGGGGCGTTTTGCAGACGGAAAAATCCCCCCCTTCCTGCTCACCCTTCTTTCCATCACCCCCACCCCTAGAAATAACCCTCTACTGTTCCCTGGCTGGCCTTGTTCTACCTGCTCATGGCCATCAATAAACACCCTGGGGAGCTTATGCTGCCCGGGTCCTGCCCACCTTTACCTCCCTCTGCCCCACCTCCCTCGGTTCTTGGAGTTTACTACCAGAAAGAAAGGTTCTTCCAGACCACGTGAAGCAATCCAGTAAAACCACAGAATGTGTTTGCCATACCCTGGGTTCCTCCCGAGGTGAAAGAGAACCCGGCCAAAGGGCTCAGAGGCAAAGTTGACTATCTACAGGTTTTGCTGGAAAACACATCAGAACAGATCTGGTCACAGTGATAAAAGAACAGCAAGGATGAACAGGAAATGAAATAGTCATAGTAACCGGTGTCATTTACTGAGCATCTCCTCTATGCAATTTCAGGTGCCTTCTCTCAATTCATCTTCGTAACAATGCTAGGTGGTACTGCTACAGCTATCCTCATTTTACAGATGAAGAAACTGAGGGTCAGAGTGTTCTCACCGCGGAGAAGCAACAGGATCAGGACCCATTTGACTCCTAAACCCACATACTGAAGATTGTGGCTGAACTTTCTTCTTTTTTTTTTTTTTTATCCTCACCCAAGGACGTTTTTGCATTTATCTTCAGTTAGAGCAAGAGGGAGAGAGGGAGGAAGAGAGAGAGAGAAACATCAATGTGAGAGAGACACATTGACTGGTTGCCACCCACATGACCCCAACCGGAGCCGGGGACAAACTGCAACCAAGGTTCGTGCCCTTGGCGGAAACCGAACCTGGGACTCTCTGGTCCGTGTGCCGACGCTCTAACTGCTGAGCCAAACCAGCCAGGGCATGGCTGAACTTTCAAGCAAGAAGGGCCAATCAGACATGGGGGGCGTGAGACAGAGCAGGGACACAGTGGGCTGAGGTGAAGGGGAAGCCAAGCTCTCAAGAAAACCCCATGTCACAAAATACGGCGAAATGATACTGTCCCAGGAGCTATGAAGGACAGTTTCAAAGGAGCCAGGGTCATTAGACATAATTCCCATGTGTCTCCCTCAACTTTCCAAGCCACATTTTTCCGTTCCAACCTACTCTGCATTCTCCCTTCATTTGCTCATACCATCGCACGAGTTCTCTGGAGTGTCCTCCTTGTTAACTTAGACAAGACAGGATAGGACAGAGACTGATTGCCTCTGTGTCTCCAGGGCTCTGCCCGGACACCCAAGAGGGGCTCAATGAGTTTTCTGCTGAAAGAACCAGTGAAAGTTGGGGACCATGTGGTATCACCATGTGGCATTCCAGGGGCCACATCAGGGACATTTGAACCTAATCTAATGCTCCACAGCAAGCAGAGGGATCCTGCAGAACCTCCGTTGGACCATGGCATTCTGCAGAGCCCTCCAAGGCTCCTTCTTCTCTCTGAAAGCAGCCAGGTCCTTGCCGTGACCTTCGAGGCCTTGCGGGATCGGCTCCCTCGCACCCTGCTCCTCCGGCCACACCAGCCTCCTTGCTGTTCCTCCTCATCGAGCTCACCTCAGCTGGGGAAGCCTTCCCCTCATTCCAAGGGCTCCTTCCCTCCTTTCCTCGGCTCTTCCATCAAACATCACCTTCTCGTGAGACCTCCCTGGCCCTCTGCTTAAAACTGCAAGCTCCCCCAGCATCCAGCACTTCGTATCCCCATCCCCCGTCTCCCTAGCACTTACCACCATCCGAAATAACTATGTACTGTATGTATTTTTGGTGTCCCCTACCAGAATGTCAGCCCCAAAGGAATAGGAATTGTTCGTTTCTTCAGTTGTCTCCCTGATGCTGAGGACAGTTTGTGGCATAGAGTAGGCACTTAATAAAGACTTGTTGAATAAATGGATGAGTGGATGGATGGATGGATGGATGGATGGAAGGAAGAACTCTGGGGATGTAGGAAATCCAGAGAGAAAGGATCTTGGCTGTTGAGCATCAGGAGAGGTCCAGGACCTGGAAGTGGCCACGGACAGGAATAGAGCAAATCCTGGCCCCCAAATTAGGACTCTGGAGTCAGAGCTGGAGTTGGTCACCGGCTGTGCCATTACCCTGTGCACAAGAGGCTGGGTGGTACAGGGGTTAGAAATGCAGACTGGAGCCAGAGTGCTGGGGTTCTATCCCAGCTTCTCTTCTTCCCAGCTGCACAACATTGTGCAGCTCACTTAACCTCGCTGAGCCTCCCCATCTATAAATTAGGGTGATAGTAACACCTACCTCGTATGCCTGCCTACTTTATAGCCAGTGTTAGTTATTATGATTCTCCACAGAACAACCCAGAGTGAGTTTATAAAACACAATTTGGGTCATGTTCCACCTAAACTTAAAATCTTTCTCCAGCTTCTCATGTTGTTTGGAATAAAATCCAAACTTTTCACTACAAAGGCCTACAAAGTCCTGCATAATCTAGCCCTTGCCTACCTCTCTGGCCTCCCTTCCACTGCTGTCCCCTTGCCCACTGTGCTCCAGCCATACTGGCCTGGATGTCACCAGTTCACTCCTACCTCAGGGCCTTTGCACTTGCTGTTTCTTTCACCTGGAAGTTCTTCTCTCAGATCTTAGCAAGCCCACTTCTTTTGAGTGATATCTCAGCTCCAATGCTCCCTACTCTGGGAGGCCCTCCCTTCTGCTGACCTGAAGAACCAGCCTTCCTCATCGCTATCACACCACCTCATTCTATGTGCCCCAACCTGTAAAGACAGTAGGTGAATGAATGACAGAGTGACCCTTTGAGGCTTCTGAGCCTAGAGGAAAAATATAAAAACCTTGGTCCACCATAGCAACAAAGAAATTCCCCACTCCCACACACAGTTGTACATTCTAGTCTCCTGGCTCCCCTCTGTTGACTCATCTCCAGAGTAGAGGTTTTGTCTGTACGCTCAGGGCAGCATCCTCGGGCCTGGAGAAGAGAGATGTTCAGGGAATCTGCTCATTGTAGAGCCTCTATTTTTTCATGTGCAGAACAGAACAATTTCACTTGCCTGGGCTTGAGCAGATCCACAGAGGGCCTGGCCCCCAGTGAACTCGATATTAAGCAAGGAGCACTCTCAAGTCACTTTTTTCTGGGCAGAAAGGAGCAAGAAAGGAAGTGCCTCCAAGTCCCTTCCCAGGCCCCAGCCAAGGCCTGGTGTGCGGGGCTCGCAACCCCAGTGGGCGGTACCCGGTTCGGGTGTGCAGCAAGCGGGAGGGCGCACGCCCCGATGGGGTCCCGGGGACTCCAGGGCGGGCAGCAGAGATCGCGACTTACCCATGATGGCGAACAGGACACCCAGGCGTGAGCAGCCAGGCCGGCATCCCTGGGCCAGAGTCCTGCGGAAGCCAACAACAAACTTTCTGGCGGCCCGCCTCCGCCCCTCCCTCCCTCTCTGCCCGCCCGCCCTCCGCCCTCCGCCCGGAGGCGCCGCTGCCACGTCGGCCAGCCCTGGCCCCCTGTGCCTGGAGGCGGGACAGAGGGGGGCCCCAGCCCGGGGGGCCCCCTCTCGCTGCGCTCCGGAGGAGGAATGCTTCCCACCGTCCTCCCCAGGGTGCTGCCCACTGTCATCCCTGTTGGGGACCCCCACAGGCATCTCCCCCCGCCCCCCAACCCTGGTAGGAAAGGGACTTCCTATCACTGCAGTCCACACTTGTCTGGTCTCCAGCGTGCACACACACACTCATGCCTCTGCACTGATGGGGACACACACATACCTACGTCAGCGCTCGACACTGTCCCATGGACTCACGCTCCATTCACGGGACACAGGTCTGCACACCTCCCAAGTACCGCAGGCACCGTGCTAGGCCTTGGGGATGGGCTGGGAGAACCAGACCGACAGATTTGTTTGTTCTTGTACAATTTTCTTTCTAGTGGAAGAGGAAGAAAGTTAAACAGCAAGCCAGAGAAAAACCAGCCAGTGGTAACGGCCAGGCAGAGAAGGCAACCAGGGTGATGGGGTAGGCAGGCAGGGGGGCTCTAGCTGGGGCTCTGGGAGGGCTGTTCTGGCGAGGGGACATTGAGCTGAGACCTCAGGTTCCAGGCAGAAGGAAGAGCAAAGGCAACAGCCCTGCGGTGGAAGGAGCTTGTGGAATATAAACAACAAAACAAAACAAAACACGACAGACATGAAGCCAGAGTGTCTGCAGCACAGAAAGTAACAGGGAGAAGGGGCCCGGGAGTGGGGTTGGGGAGGGCCAGATCACTCAAGGCCTTGCGGGGCCAGGGTCAGAAACGTGGATTTTATTCCAGCTGACACCAGAAATGCTTGGGGCATTCTTGTAGGTTATAGGGAGCGAGGGGTGGAAAGCAGGGACATTTTGCAGGTGAGAGATGGAGTTGATTTGGACTAAGGTGATAGTAGTGGGGATGCAGGAAAGTAGGCAGATTGGAGATAGACATGATAAGGATTTACCGATGGGAAAAGGTGAAGCTTGGAGTGGGAAAAGACAGGTAAGGTTCTGTTTTAGCGATGTGATGTTTCAGCTGCTCATTCAACATCCACGTGGAAATAGGTAGGGCGTTCGATAGAAGAATTTGGAGTTCTGCAAAGGAGCCAGGCTGGGGACATTCCCACTAATTCTTACTCTCAGGCAAAATCACATGTACAGGTTTAGCACCCACATGGCCGCAGGCTTATCTCAGTGCGTGCTCATATACAGACACATTAGTTGACATGTGTCACATACCCTCACCCAGCAGGATGTGTCCCACAGACACAACTGGGCATCTTGGCAAAGAAGACCGCATGGATAAGACCTGAGCCAGGGGACCCTTGTATAGTTCTGGAAATAATAATAGCTGTGGCAGTTTGAAAACACCACTCCAAAATTATTTGTTTCCTTACTTGAAATCAAAGTGGGCTTGTTGTGACTGCTTCAACCAGTAGGTTGCACAGTGACTTCCCAAGGCTGGGTCACTGGGACACTGGTGCCTGGAGCCCCACTGAGGCCGCCATGCTGTGAGGAAGCCCAAGGGGCAGAGACAGGCCAGGTGGGGATGTTCAGTGGGCGGTCCTAGCCTCTGAGCCATCCCAGCACTGGCTCCGGAATGAGTCTTCAGATGATTCCAGCTCCCATGTCAAATCTTTCCAGCTGAGCCCCCAGATCTCATAGAGCAGAGACAAGCCGTCTCTACTGTTCCCAGTCTGGATTTATGACCCACACATTCTTTTTTAAAAAAATATTTTTTATTAATTTATTTTTGTTACAGATATTTTTCCTTTTACCCCCATTGCCACCCTCCTCCCAGTCCCTTCTTCCCCGACCCTGTCCCCAGCATTGTTGTCTCTGTCCATTGGAAGGATAGGAGATCTTTCTTTCTTACAGCTTATGACCCACACATTCTATGAGTATGATTAAATGGTTGTTTTAAGGTGCAGAGTTTGGGAGTAAATTGTTATGCAGCAACAGTAGCAGGGAGACTAGTTTAAACTCTGGAGTGATAGTTATATACTTTGATTCCAGCACTTCACATATATTAGCTCACTGTTAACCCTCACAACTACCTAATGAGAAAGGGATTATTACAATTCACCCCCGTTTTATGAATGATGTAACTGGGGCAAAGGGAGATGAAGTAACTTGCTTTCATTATAAATAAATAAATGAGGTAAATAGAGATCAAGGACAAGCACGAGTATACAGCCGAGCTGGAAATCAAGCCCAGTCGTGGGGAAATCAGGCCCTAATCCATTTCGCTCTGCTACCTTTCTGGCTTGGAGAAGATCCCAAGGAGGCTTCTGGCCATTGCCAAGTGACAGTTCCTCCTTCATTTGTGAGTGTTCGGAATTGTCACCAGGAGATCTGGCACAGCAGGAATGGCATCTCCATTGTGAGATAACCTGTAGAAGTTCTATGGTGGAAAGGAGCATGGAATTCTCTGATCTCTGTGGCTTGCATTAAGTCACGAGGCTGTTTGCATGCTTACTGTCATGTTCTCTCTCTCCTAGAGAACAGAGAATCCCTCTTTTCTTTCTTTCTTTTTTTTTGTGGTACGTGCCCCTAGAGGGAAACCAAACCTGGGACTCTCCGGTCCGTAGGCTGACACTCAACCGCGGAGCCAAACTGGCTAGGATGAGAATCCCTCTTTATTTGTTTTCTCAAATGGGAAAGAAAAAATTCTAATCAAACCTTCCAGTAGCATCTTTAAAAATAGCTTCCCTTGAGAGTGGGCAGGGCCTAGTGACTAATTTCTAACAAACAGAAAACAGCAAAAGTGATGATGTCATCTTAGAGATCCGGTTATAATAACTGGTGGCTTCATCTTGCTCATTCTCTCCTGATCTCTCACACCTCACTCTGATGAAGCCACCTGCTGTGTCGTGAGCTGCCCAACAGAGAAGCCCATGTGGCAAGAAGCGAGGGGACTTGTAGGCAAGAGCCAGAAAGAAACTAAGGCCTGTGAAGATATAAACCCTGCCACCAATCAAATCCTCACACAAACAAAAAATTCAGCCTGTGACAGTGCAAAAGAGAAGAGGTTCATGGGGACACCAGCGCTTATAAAAGTTGGATTTTCCCTTTTCTGAGAAGTCAGGAGGGCTTCCCCGAGGAAGTGGCATTTGAACTGAAAATGAAAGTATGTCTAGGCAGCAAAGGGAGGGAAGAGCAGTGGGAAATAGCAGGTGCAAAGGCTCTGTGGCAAGAGGGAGCCTGGCAAGAAAGAAAGACAAAGAGAAGGCAATTGTGTTTGAAGATCCATTTGGTGGGAGATAAGTCTGGAAGACGGACATAGTGGTCCCAGGCAGGACCTTGGGGGTCTTTATCCTCAGCCTTGGAAAGGTTTTAAACTAGGTTTCCTGCCACAGAAGCCAGAACCAGTCTGACCATAGCAGGCCTGGGACTTGTAAATATGTTTGCCCAGTGGATTTTCCAAAGGCGGGGTTCAGGCAGATTTGATAACCACAGAAATAGAAGGCTTATGTAGACACTAACAATTATGATAATGAAGCCACACACTTGGGAAACTGGGCGTTATAAATCCAGTTGGTTCTGGGTGAGCTTTGAGTAGTCTGGGCTAATGAAAGGGGCTGGAAACCACAGTAAACCATCACAAAGGGTCTGATGTTTGAAAAGGTGACCTGCCCTGTGATGAATGAAATTGTGGAGCTGAGAGCTGGCGAACAATAACCCTAGGACCTAGGATCAAATACTTTCTTCAGTATTTGAGTCCCCGTGATAGGCGAAGGAACATGTTATCCACCAGGCACCTGCACGGGCAGCATCTTATTTCATTTTAGTGAGCAACTGCCAAAGTAGAACTGATTATCTTCGTTCTGAAGGCGATGCAGCCAGAGAAATCATGTTTTCTGATGCATTACACATCGTGCCAGGCATTTGTGGTTGCCTCCTTAGCGGCAACCCCCAGCTCCCGGAAAGATCTGAGATTCCGGGAAAAGTTTTTCGCGGGAGGCGTCGCCGTTTTCCGGAAAGAGCCGAAGAGCCGGGAGGCGGGGCCACAGAGTCTTCGGGAGGCTTCGGAAAGCGTCGGCGTGCGATTGGCCGAAGAGAGCCGAGGTTTCGCGGAGCGAGCCGAAGCCTTTCCGACAGCCCCCGGGCAGAGCCGAGGGGCGCCGAGGCACAGCAATGGCGGCGGTTGGTTCTGCTGCGGCCGAGAAGGGCGAGGACCAGGTGCCGGAGGCCGAGGCGCTGGCTGCGGCCCGGGAGCGGTGCAGCCGCTTCTTGAGCGGCCTGGAGCTGGTGAAGCAGGGCGCCGAGGCGCGCGTGTTCCGCGGCAGCTTCCAGGGCCGCGCGGCCGTGGTGAAGCACCGCTTCCCGAAGGGCTACCGGCACCCGGCGCTGGAGGCGCGGCTCGGCCGGCGGCGGACGGTGCAGGAGGCCCGGGCGCTGCTCCGCTGCCGCCGCGCAGGTGAGACGGCCCGGCCCCGGGGCCCCCTTGCGCCCCCTGCCTTCTGCGTGGCCTTGGGTATTTAAGAACAGTCGTCGGTTCATCCCTGTCTTCGCTCTTCAGGAGCCGCTTGGCTTTGCCCCGACGGGCGTGTGTCCTGCAGCCCCTGAGCCCGGCTCAGTCCCCTCTGCCACGTGGCTTCGCGTTGAGCGCGTCTCGGTCACTCTCCCCCTGGTACCGGCTCAGGGCCTGATCCTTATCTCTTCGTTACTTTTAAGAAGCAGATGTAAGTGTAAGTACGTACCCGGGAACCAGGCTCTCCGGGTTCAGATACCGACCACACCACCGTAGCCTCTTTAACACGGTATTTAACCTGCTAACGCACCTGCAGAGGGAAACCGCAGTTGCAGCATTCGTGTCATAGGGATATTGGGACCATGAGAAGAGGTACGTGTGCCATGTATTACACTTGAAGGTGTGACTGGCGCGTAGCGCTTAATAACGCTAGATTTCATTAAATCGCTTATTTATTTTTTTCGTTAAAACACCATTGTGCACCGTCACTGTGAACTTGTTCTCAGATGAGAAACTGAGTCTTAGAGAGGGGGAGTAACTTGGCCCAAGTTCCACAGTTAGTGGCCCGGCCAGGTTCTCAGCTCATCACCTTCTGACTCAGAAAAACTGGCTTTTCACCTTTACACTCCCTGCCTTTCTTTTTTAAATTGATATGTATATGTTTTTTTAATCCTCACCGGAGAATATTTTTCCATTGATTTTTCAGATAAGAGTGGGAGGGAGGGAGGGAAAGAGACACAGAGAGAAACATTGATGTGAGAGACACATGGATTGGTTGCCTCCTGCACAACCTCAGCCAGGGCCAGGGATTGAATGGCAGTCAAGGTGCGTGCCCTTGATCAGAATCAAACTCAAGACTCTTTGGTCCTGGATCGATGCTTTAACCGCTGAACCAAACCGACCAAGGCTTACGTTGGTATTTTTTTTTTTATCCTCACCCAAGAGGACATTTTTCCATTTTTTGTTCAGATAGAGCGGGAGGGAGGGAGGGAGGGAGAGAGAGAGAGAAACATCGACGTGAAGGGACACATCGAGTGGCTGTCACCCGCACGACCAACTGAGGCTGGGGACAAACTGCAACCGAGGTGCGCACCCTTAGCGGGAACTGAACCCGGGTCTCTCTGGACCGCAGGCCGATGCTCTAACCGCTGAGCCAAACCAGCCAGGGCTTACGTTGGTATTTTTTTAGGCACCTGTGTACACCAGGACGTTGTGAAGTGCTGCGAGATCTGGGGGAAATTCACTAGTGAACAAGCAGGCATATCTCTGCCCTTGCTGGGATTTAATGAAGTTATTTGTGTGTTCCTATTTTCTTTTGCACCCTCGCTGGAATATGTTTCATTAAGCAGGGATCGTGGCTGCCTTACTTTCTGCTGTATCCCCCACCCCTCCCCACATGCTCTCGATATCTAGAAAAGCGCCCTGAGCATGATTGACATTCAGTACAGATCCATTAAGTCTCTGGAAATCTTGTTATCATGTCATAGAAGCCGAAATGGAGGTGTAGAGAAGTTGATGTAAATTTAAGGTTATACAGGTGTCGACGGAGCTAAATGACTCAGGAGGCTTTGCTAAAACTGAAAATGACAAAGTTTTATTCAAGAGTCTTAGAATTGGCAAATCGGAAACACTGCCAGGTAAGGCCCAGAGTGTTCTGAAGAAAAGATGACAGTTCTTAGAGTAAAAATATTTTCTTGAGAAGACTCAGCGCTGTGTTAGCTTCTGGATTGGTCTGAGATGGTAATCCTCTAGATGAGCGATGGCCCGCATAATGAACGTCAGACAGTCTGGATTCAGGAATATTCTTTCCTGAGTTCTTCAGGGGGTTGTTTATAGTATTTATATATCCCTCCAGGCATTGATATACAACAAAAGTTTAAGTCGTCAGGCTAGTTAGTGAAGTAAAATCTGCTCCTCGTGCCTCAGCCCACTTGGTCTGCACCGATTTGGTTAGCTTGACTGTTCAGACTCCATTTTAAGTCGGTGTGGCTGTACTGATTTCATCTTGTTTTCTTCACTCCTTCCTCGCAGCTAATAAGGACGGGAGCTGGGATTTGACTTCATCCTCTCTGACTTTGAAGATGAGTCTCTAAGCCAACACACCACTTGGCCTCCTGTTGGCGTCCTTGTCGGATAGTTAGCGCTTTACCTGGGCTACGCTCACCCCGCTGACTTTTGTTTTGTCCGATCATAAAGAGTAAAAAGTCAGAGGGAGCTTTGCACTACTAAACTTAGCTGTGGGGTGGTGCAAGGAGCGGACACGCAGAGCATGAGCAGGGGACTTTCAGATGCATTAAGTTGTCCCATTCTGCAGCGTTTCTAAACCTTTGTCCTGAAATCAGCAGATATACACGGTAAAACACTGGGTCAACCTTTGAAAGCTAAGCTTACCATTACAAAAATCGATTTCACCAACTGATTGTGTTTTGATTGCAGGAATATCTGCCCCAGTTGTTTTTTTTGTGGATTATGCTTCCAACTGCTTATTCATGGAAGAAATTGAAGGCTCAGTGACTGTTCGGGATTATATTCAATCCACTATGGAGGCGGAAAAAACTCCCCAGAGTCTCCTGGGCCTAGCCAAGGCAGTCGGGCAGGTGTTGGCGCGAATGCACGACGAGGACCTCATTCACGGTGACCTCACCACCTCGAACATGCTCCTGAAGCCGCCCCTGGAGCAGCTGCGCATTGTGCTCATTGACTTCGGGCTGAGTTTCGTTTCCGCTCTTCCGGAAGATAAGGGAGTTGACCTCTACGTGCTGGAGAAGGCCTTCCTCAGTACCCACCCCAACACCGAGAGTGTGTTTGAAGCCTTTCTGAAGAACTACTCCACCTCCTCCAAAAAGGCCAAGCCCGTGCTCAAAAAATTAGATGAAGTGCGCCTTAGAGGGAGAAAGAGGTCCATGGTCGGGTAGGAGACTGTGACAACCGCAGACCGTTCAGCCGTGTATGTCAAAGCGGATCTGAAGGGCTGCCGCAGGTTATGAGGGTAGACTTACGACGAAGCGTGGAGATATTTTTAAGTGCTATCTGTGCCCATGCTTGTTAAGTCGCTATCACCTGCAGCCGACTGCTCTCAGGGGCTTACTTGCTATGCACATGAGTCGTGTTCGAGCAGACTGCGTATAACATAAACCTAGGACGGGCGCGTGCCTCAGGTCCCTGGGCACGGCATTGAACATTGAACCACGTAATGGGAAGATCATTCTCTTCGTTCCTGGGGAGACCGGAATAAAGTCTCGGCGACAGTGTTGTTTTTTTTATCCTCACCCAAGGACATTTTGCATTTATTTTTAGATAGAGCGGGAGAGAGAGAGAGAAACATCGACTGGCTGCCACCCACATGACCCCAACCAGGGCCGGGGACAAACTGTAATCGAGGTACGTGCCCTTAGTGGGAACCGAACCTGGAACTCGTCCACGGGCCGATGCTCTAACCGCTGAGCCAAACCGGCCAGGGCGACAGTGTGTCTACCAATTCTATAACCCAGTGTTGTTTTTTGTATGTGCTTGACATTCCTCTTGAAAACAATGTAGTGGATACAACCAACATTTTTTTTTTATCCTCACCCAAGGACATTTTTGCATTTATCTTCAGATAGAGAGGGAGGAAGAGAGAGAGAGAAACATCCATGTGAGAGAGACACATCAACTGGTTGTCACCCACACGACCCCATTCGGAGCCGGGGTCAAACTGCAACTGAGGTTCATGCCCTTAGTGGGAACCGAACCCCGGACTCTGGTGCACGTGCCAATGCTCTAACCGCTGAGCCAAACCGGCCAGGGCACAACCAGCATTTTTCAAATGAAGTAGAATCAGACTAGGAAATGTCACCACATGTGCATTCCGTGTACTGTAAATACTGTTTTATGAGACGTGTTTGTACTTACGTATATACAGACAACAGTATGTACTGGGTTTTGATGTGAAATATATTTTTGATGGTCATGGTGGATAAAAAGGATGAACAATGCTGCTTAACTCTAACTTCTCTTTAAAAAGCTTTTATACAACATTGTGTCTGTATTTGTTGCTCTGTAATTTTATGGTTATCTTCTTGTTAAGACAAGTGATTGATAAAGTTCCTTTTAGTGTATGTAGGTGAAAAGTAAATTCGTTCGTCCCCCAGACAGGAAGTGGGTAGAGCAGAAGCGGCGATGTGCCTGGGGAAGGGCCGAGGCTTTGGAGAAGCCCAGGTGAAGGGGAGGCAGAGGAAAGCAGAGTTGGGGTGCACCGTGCCACTTACCGCTCACACTCAGCTTGCCAGCCTCAGTTTCATGCGCAGACGAGTGTGGAAGCTGTAGTGAAATCCCTTCCTCCTCGTGCGTTCCAGCCAGCGAGGGACAGTGTCGAGCGCCTTCGTGTGCCTGGCACTGCAGTGGGTACTGGGTGCAACGATGGGCGAGATGGACGTGGCACTAGCTCTCATGGAGGGAACATTTGGGTGGGACCGAGGCCATGTCTGTGTCCTTTCCACAGTTAGCACCCTGCAGGTGGCAGGTGCCCAGGAATGAAAGAAAACATCCTTTCCTGGGCGGTAGTGACTAGCAGAACTAATACATCACCTGGTCACTGCGCATCGGGCATTGTGCCAGGATCTAAAACAACTCTGCATCAGGTATCGCCCCACTTTATAGACGGACTGTGGGCTCAGGCGGGGGAGCTTGTCCAGGAGGTCACAGGTAGCAAGGGTACGGTACTTCTACTTGCCTCCAAAGCCCATATTCTTTCCGCTGTCCCTTTAAGAAATGAAATGCTGGCTGCGACGGGCCTTTATCTTATGATGTGGATTGGCAGAATATGACATTTCAGACACCTCCAAGGGCTACAGGAGTGTTCACAACGAGACAGAGGGCTCGTCCCCAGTGTCCTCGTGTGTACTGTAAGGCTGATGAAGGCTCGTGTCCCTCGTGGGGAGTGACTGGTTGACCCATGCGTGCAGGTGTTAACAGATACCCAGCACTCACTGTGCCCGGTACTGGAGATACCCAAGGAGACAAAGCTGTCCTTACTGGCCCGGAAAGCATAAGGTAAGTACCCACGGTAGTTCAGACAGCCATGCGTGCTGTCAAGGGCGCTGAGGTCCTGTGTGACCTTGAGGGGAGGAGGGAAGGGGGCCGGGAGAGCCTCCGATGAAGGGACAGGAGCTACGATGTGCAGGAAGACGAGACGGGCAGTATGTTCCCGAGGAGGGGCCATCATGTACAGCGCTGGTGAAGGAGGAACATCCTCGAGGGACAGCAAGGCCAGTGGGGCTGGTTTGCAGGGAACTGGGAGGAGGAACAGGAATGAGATCAGAGAGGTGGGTAAGGGCCTGTGACAAGGTTGGGTTTTATTCTGAAGGGGTCTCAGGGTTCTAAACGGGGAGACAGTTTCTGAAAGGATTACACTGGTAGAAAAGGGACCAGAAGAGGCAAATGTGGAAGCAAGAAACCAGTAAGACCGCACTGGCTGGGCCAGTGATGCTGGTAGCCTGGGAGGAGGTGAGGTGAGCGAGCTGTGAGCCCTTTGACAGCCGCTGGTGTGAGTGACGTGGTGGCCAGCAGCAGTGGGGACGCGACAGTGAACTCCCCCGCAGGCATTGAGAAGGAGGGGGTTACTGCAGACTGGACAAACGTCATAACTGTTCCCAGGAACATTGTCTTCTCTGTGTACACGGCCTGTGGCCTGTGATGGGAAGTAAGGGGTTAACAAACATTCCTCCTGGGGCAGTGGATTCCTTCCCTAGGTCTGTGGCTCACTAGCCTGAGGTGTCCTCTGCATTCCAGATCCCTCAGAGTCCACGTGGGGTCAGCCCAGCTGGTGCTTGGTAGGGATGAGCCAGTGGCACTAGCAGCTCTGTGTGAGTTCCCACCGGAACCCCCCCCAGACAGGAGTTAACCCCCACTTTATAGATGAGGAAACAGCAATGCAAAATAGCATGTGGCACAGCTGGGATTCAAACCCATGTTTTTAGCAATAGCAACAGTTGAGAAGTTTTAAGTTCGTTGCATGCATTAACCCATTTCACAGAGGAGGCAACTGAGGCACAGACATTAACTCTTGCCCGAGGTCACCCAACTAGTGAGTGGTACAGTTGGGGAAATGTGATGGGACCCTGAGATGTGTCCATCACTGAAAAGGACATGGCCCACAGCTGGACTATTTAAAAGAGCTTCTTGGACAGTCCATGGACCACAGAATGGACTGACCCAACCTGGCGTAGTGAGTGCCCTGTGCAGGTGTGCTCTTGTTCAATTAGGTGAGCTGACCACACTCGCACCGTGTGCTCGCCGAAGGTTTGGGAAACACCTCCATGAATGGAGCATGTGGCGTATGAGCTCTGCTGTAACTAAGAAAGCAAACCCTAATCCTGATGCTGCTTTAAAAAAATGTTACTTACAGAAACAGGCAGCAGGCACGTGGGTTGGTTTGCCAATTTGATATTTTAAAATATTACATTAAAGCGTTTGTCTTTTTTTTTTTTTATCCTCACCCGAGGACATTTTTTGTTCAGATAGAGCAGGAGGGAGAGAGAGAAACATCGATGTGAAGGGACACATCGAGTGGCTGCCACCCGCACGACCAACCAGGGCCGGGGACAAACTGCAACCGAGGTACGCGCCCTTAGCGGGAACCGAACCCGGGTCTCTCTGTACCGCAGGTCGACGCTCCAACCGCTGAGCCAAACCGGCCAGGGCTAAAGCGTTTGTCTTGATTAGCGAGTTTTTAGGTGCTCCCTTAAGTTTGTACCCTAGTAAGAGCCTCGTCCGCCTGGTCCCAGTCCCTGACTGCCAGAACCCATGTTCTTATAAGGTCTGCCCCAAACCCCTTTGGAACTGGGAATTTCCTCTCTGGGACTGTACTGGCGCTGCAACTCCAAAGAACCCAGTTCCCCTGTCCTGCGCCCAGACGAGTGGCTCTGTTTCGCCACCAGAGGTCGCAAGTCACTGTCATTCCCCTGCAAAGATGTAAAAGAGAATCTTCCCTCCCACTCCAGCTCCTCCTCCATTTCCTTCTCCCCTCCCTCTTCCTCCTTCCCTCCTCTCTTCCTCTCCTCCCTCTCCCTCCTCCTCTTCCCTCTTTTCTTCCCATCTCCTCTCTTGAACTTGTTCATCTATTCACTCAGCACTTTAGCTGAGCATCCATGTGGTGGGCTCCATGCCAATCACTCAGGATGTGGTGAGCCAGACAGATGTGGGGTGCCTGCTTCCCTCCTTTCTTAATTTGTCCCCCATGCTCACACCTCTGCTCATGCATTCGTCGGGTATTTGCTGAGACCTTGGCTGGCTGGCTCGGAAGGAGCCACAGTCATAAGAAAATCCAGCCACCACCAGGAGCCTCCCCGAGTCTCCCCAAATTGCAGCCATCAGTCGTTTCCCCACTGCTCCCCCTGCTTCTGCCCCAGCCCCCTCCATTCTTACTCAGCAGCCAGAGGCACCCTTTGGGAACCAGATTATGCCCCCTCTGTGCTGAGAAGTTTGATGGCCTCCCATGCCATGGCTCCTTGCTGTCAGCGGCACGGCTTGGCGTTGGGAGAGGCGGGAACGACACCGCGTGGAAGACCGGCCCGGCGGGGTCAGACCGGACCTGGTTCAGCAACCTCGGTACTTGGGTGCTGGCTAGGAAAGAATTCAGAGCCAAGACTCAACTACAAGAGAACATGTATTTGGAACATCGCAGAAGTAGAAGAAGTCATTTGTAGAAAAATGGGCTTAGGCCCTGGCCAGTTTGGCTCAGCAGTTGGAACATTGGCCCGCAAACCAAAGAGTCTCGGGTTCAATTCCAGGCAAGGGCACGTGCCTCGGTTGCTGTTATGTCCCCAGCCCTGGTCAGGGTCATGCGGGAAGCAACCAGTCGATGTATCTCTTCCGTTGATGTCCCCCCACCCCCGCCATTCTATTTGAAGATAAATGGAAAAAAAGTATCCTCAGGTGAGGATTTAAAAAAGGGCTTCAGAAATAAGTTATAGAGGTAAAGGAAGGGCCCTCGGAGCCTCCAAGCGAGGAAGGTCCCCATAACATGCCTCAGGGGAGGGGGCAGGGAAAGGGGGAGGTGCAGGCTGCTCCAGGGAGGGAGAGCCGCTGGGCCCGCCATCCGCCATCCTAAGGGTTTTAGGATGGAGATTTTAGGGGAGGTCCCAGGAAGATCTCAGTAGAATATTCAGCAGCTTTCCAGGGGTGTCCTTTGGGGTCTAGGTCTCCACTGATTGATTGGTCGGCGCCAGGGCAGGGGTCATTATCCAATGCATCTTGTCCTGAGGTCAGCCAAGGGGTCACTTGTCTGATTTTGCTGTTTTTCTGGGCCTGGAGCTGAAATACAAATGAG